ACCCCAGTTCTGTATGCACAAAAAAAAATAAAATCTTTAAAAATAAAATGTTGCAGAGATGTATGTCCTGGTGTTTTTCACCTATATTTTCTTCTATATATTTCATGGTTTCAGGTCTTATGTTCAGTTCTTATATCCCATTTGAGTTTATTTTGTTTATCGTTGAGGTAGTAGTCTGTTTCAATTTTTTGCTATGGTTGTCCAGTTTTTCCAGCACCATATAGTGAACAAACCTATATATTAGTTTTGAGAGCAAGATCAAATTTTCACATCCATGTACATTTTTTTCTCCAAACAATGTTTATTTGTTATTGCATAAGATAAAGCAAAGAGGGAAATACACACACTATGTGTGTGTACATATATAGGCACATATATGTCATATATGTATACATATATGTGCCTATATGTGTGTGTAACATACTATATTGCTTAAAATTAAAATTAAATTAAAATTTTGGGTTTTATCATACTTGTAACAATATATATACGAGATAATTATAGCATGTGAGTAAGTTCATTTTAGATATAATTTCAAGCAAAAGCAGAAGTCCAGAACTACTTTTAACTTGCATTACTCTGAAACACTAATCTAGTAATTAATGGGATAGAATAAGTCCTAAATCTATTGAGCATTTCCTCTGCAGCAGGTGCAATATAAACAATTATTTTATAACATCCACACTTAACTCTTAGAACAGATTTTAGGAAACTTTAGAGTTATAAACAAGTTATAAACTTAGCTTATATCACTATCACATTATGTGTGTTTTAATTAATGTGTGTAGGTGGCTAGACTGTTCCTTCTGAGTACAAATATTTGCTTTATTGCCCTATACTAAAAATCAAATTTGTACACCTATATAAGTTGAGTAGATTAGGGCCCTCCCTGGTGGCACAGCAGTTTAAAATGCAGCACTGAGAAGCTGGCCAGAGCCACTCCAGTGCAAGTTCGATCCCAACCCAGAAGGTGATCCATATGGCTTGGCAGACCTCTCCTCTTTCACCTGCTGCTTCCCTCAGCAGTGTACTTCCTTTATCTGCCTGTTCTGCTCCTCAGTCTGGCTATGGTGAATCTTCCTACCATCCCTGTATCTCTCGCCTGTACCCAGTTCTGTATGCATTAAAAAATAAATCTTAAAAAAAAGAATCACAAAACTCTAAAAAAATAAAAGTTGAATAGATTAATATTTTCATAGAGCAATTGTATCATACTCTAAAAATAGAAGGGTTTTAATATAACAAAAATTTACTCACAATCACCAACAATTTCCTCTGCAAATTTATTAGACAATATACAGAGCACTGACCCTTACATTAATCCTCTATTATGTAACTGAGCTCTGAGCAGTAGCTCTCATACTTTCATTCTCTAACTTATGAAATGAGAAGATTTTGATAGACATTAACTGCTGTCTTCACAGAATGTCCTGAGAAATACATTATATCCCTTCTCAAAAAATCAACAGCATTGACTAGTTTGATTGCTTTCTTATAATTAGGCACACATCTGCATGATCTCCAAATCAGGTAAGTCAAGTGTAATGACCAAGGCTTGCCCCCATGGACTTGGACATTAGGGATCAATTATAGGAGAAATAGCACATTGGAAGTGTTTACAGTGTATGTTTATATAAATAAAATGTAGTAACTCATCTTCTGTCTTCCAGAATTAAACTGAGATAATTAGATATAAAATTTTTAAATTTGGAACAAAGGAATAAGAAAGGAAGTTGTCTTATAAAAAAAATAGATAGACAAATAGAGAAGTTATACACTAGAAATTCCAACATATCCTAATATATAGACCTTGGGTGTGTCCTCAAGTTTTATGTCTTATGAGAAGAAAGAGCAGTGAGAAACGGATGTATAAAACATCCTTTGATATATCTCTTTCTGAAATTTTAGAAAGTAAAGAAGAGGCTTTAATATCAGAAAGAGATGTTCTGATTTGATAGAATAAATGGTTCATTGGCAAGTTCTTATAGCAAATCTTAGAAGATGACATCAACCAGTATTTGTGCCTAAAAACTTTTGGCACAAGTGATGTCATTGTAAACTTACTTCATTTTGAAATACACAAACTGAAAAACATTGGACAAGGTAAGTCATAGTACTCCCAGTAAATGAACTTAATTTGTGTTAATTCTAATTCATGTTGTTCTATTTAGTCAGTGATTGCTATTGTAAAATCAGCTCCCAACAGGTATTTTATTTCTGTTGTCCCCCTTATACATTGAAGATGATGTTTCCAAATATTAGGAGAATACTTTCTGATACTCAAAGAATATGCACTTGTATGTGTAGTTAGAAAAGTCAAAAGTCAATTTAAACTGCCCAAAAAAAAAAAAAAGAGGGAGAGAGAGATTAAATGAACTTGTTACAAACATTTCAAGTGTAGACCTAGATCTGTGTGCGATATTAAGACACTTAATTTCTCTGGATCTGGGGTCTTCCAATGATTTATGTAAAATGAACAAAGGAATTTGATACCTCCTGAGGATCTGTATATACTGAACATAAAAATTCTGAATTCCATCTTCACAGCCATCCTAGACAGTTAGCGGAGGTTCAACAAAAAAAAAATTCTTACTGGTCTTGGGCTGATTATCTGTAAGACTATTTAAAGTGCACTTTCTATTGTAAATTTTACAAAATAAATTTAGAACCATAAGATTGTTAAATTACATTAAATTCTATACAAATATACATCTTGTAAGTTGTTTTCAATGGCATAAGTGCCCATAATATGCTTCTTAATATGATCAAAAGAGACATGAAAATTGATATAACATGTAGTCACAGTAAAAATATTCTCTATTTATTGTGAAAAAGAATACTGTGTCTCATGTAACTCAGCATCTAATAAATTAATCATACTGAACAAAGAAACCCAAAGAAAAGCAATAAAAATAAATCTTGAGATCAGTTCCTATTGTCCATGCTCTGAAAGCTAAATTTATAGAGATTTTACTAGGATAGCATTCTACACCTACCAATAAGATGTTGTTTCCAAATATTACCTTAACTTTTAAATTAAGCAATCAAAATTATTGTTGCAGATATCATCAATATTTGTGCTACTCTTAGCATTAATTTATATTAAAAAGACATACATAAGAGTATATGTCTCTTTTAAACATGGCATACATAAACTGAGAGTTGGTTCTATTTGGTCAGAGATTTCTATTGTAAAATCAATTCCCAACAGGTATTTTATTTCTGTTGTCCCCCTTATTTTGAGCCTTAATTAAACCACACATGAGAAAAACATATAACCAGACCAATATACTGAAAAAATGATTCATTTAACTGAACTGGTCATGTTTCATCAAGTAAATTATCAAATAAAGTTATCTTTGTTCATTTCTTCAGACAAAATGTTACTACAATGTTATGATAGTTACTGTGTGATGATGCAGTGAAACAATAACATTTCATTATGAATTATCTTACCTTTGAATTGATGAAATAATGGCCTGATTTGTGCTGGTCACAACATTTTCTGTTTTAAAACCAAAGAAATCCCCAGCATAAAAGGAAAAGGCCAACAGAAAGGTGAGGGAGAAAGATTGAACAAACCAAATATATGCATCAGTGCACATATGCTCTTGAATCAAGTCCATGGCAAAAATCAGAATAGTGAAAGTTAGACATCCTGTGGTCACAGCCAGGGGTCATGACAAGACACAAGCATTTAATTCTTAATTAAATGCTTAATTCTCACAAGGAACATCACCATCAAGTGTGTACAGAATCTACAATCTATGACCTTTGTTATGTGCAAGTCCCCTACATGAAAAGAGCATGTCACTGACTACCTGTGCATTTGATTCTGAGAACTGTAGATTATCAGGAAATGGAAATATCATAAAGGAAGAGAGAACTTCACATCATATTTTATAATTGGAGGGGAATTAAAGAACATAATATCACTTTGTAGTGTATAACAGTGATTGGGATGATGGACACAATTTTGAGAAAGGCAAAAAGTGGTGAAAACCGTGACAGACAGGGAATAAAAATTTATATGATTTGAAGCAAGCTAATGGGGCCAGCTGGACTGAAATAAAGTCATCAAAAAAGAGAGGGATAAGTAATACTGGCTTTTGATTTTATACAAAAAGACTTGGAGTTATATGTGCCTGTTGGTCTTTCATATACTGAGTTAAATTCACGTACATGGAAGAAGGCAATATTTCTTTGACTTGATATATCAAAGCTGTGTTCCTGGACATGAGTTATCAAGAGATGAATGCTTTAGTGATCCTGGTCTATATGCTGATACTAGGCTTTCTATTATACATTCACTTCCAAGCTGCTACCAGACAAAACATCAAAGGCAACATTCAATTTGCTAATTATAAGACTCACAGAAAAATGTCCTATGCATTATAACTAATATTGACAAAGTCAGACCTCCTTTGTTTCATTTCACGTTCTAGATTTGTTTTTGTTTTTTTTTTTTTTTTTCTTTAAAGGAAGCTTAACAAGCAGTAAGTTTTCATGGAGACATGGAATCACACTTCCAGTGATTTCATTTTGTTGGGTTTGTTTCCCCCAAATCAAACTGGTTTGGTGCTTCTACTCCTTATTATCTTTATATTCTTTCTCGCCTCACTTGGAAACTCAACTATGATCCACCTTATTCACGTGGATCCCCGACTCCACACTCCAATGTACATTCTCCTCAGCCAGCTCTCCCTCATGGATCTGATCTCCATTTCCAGCACTGTCCCGAAGATGGTATTCAACTTCTTCTCTGGTCAAAAAAGCATCTCCTTCCTTGGATGTGGGTTACAGTGCTTCTTCTTCGCAACTATGGCATGTTCTGAGGGTTTACTCCTGTCCTCCATGTCCTATGACAGATATGTGGCCATCTGTCACCCCCTCCATTATCCTATCCGCATGAATAAAAGGGTGTGTGTGAAGATGATGATAGGATCTTGGATCTTGGGGGCTGCCAATTCCTTAGCACACACCGTCTACACTCTGCATATTCCATACTGCCAGTCCAGGGCCATTGATCACTTCTTTTGTGATATCCCAGCCATGATGACTCTGGCTTGCATGGATACCTGGGTCTATGAGTACTTGGTTTTTGTGAGCACATGTCTATTTCTCCTCATTCCTTTTCTTGGAATCACAGCTTCCTATGGTAGAGTGCTTTATGCTGTCTACCATATGCGCTCCAAAGAGGGAAGAAAGAAGGCCTTCACCACCTGTTCCACACACTTAACCGTGGTGACATTTTACTATGCACCTTTTGTCTATACCTATCTCAGGCCTAAGACTCTCCGCACCCCAGCAGAAGATAAGAAACTGGCAGTTGTATATGCCATTCTGACCCCAATGCTCAATCCCATTATCTATAGCTTGAGGAATAAGGAAGTCCTGGGAGCCATGACAAGAGCGTTTCCAATATTATTTTCCAAGAAGGAATAACCACGGCTGTTTTCACTCATTATTTTTTCCCTTTCTCTATTAACTAGAACATCACTGATAGAAATGCAATGTAGGTCATGTAAGTAATTCGACATTTTCTAGTATTCAAAAAGTGAATTTATTCTAAATATAGTCAATCGATGCAAAACAATTTATAAACAATTCTAAAGGAACTATATATTATTATGTGAAGTAGTATATATCACATATATTACTATTATCATCATATTCACACAAATTGACATTAAGTCCGCTCATGTCTTTTCTTCATTGTACTATTTTATTGAGGTAACAATGATTTCCTGCATCATATATAGGTCCGTACCTATTTAATGTATGTTACAATGCCACACTCACCATCAAAATGCCTTAGTCCTTCACAATTGTTTTTGGGGGGACCTGTCATCTTTTGTTCTCTCCTTTTGGTTGCCTCAATTTTACATTCATACTTCTAGGGAGTTCATTAGTTTGGTTTTCTCTAAAATCCACATATACTTCACAACATCTAGTATTTGTCTTTTTCTTCCTGACTTATTTCACTTAAATTTTATCAATTTCAGTTCCATCTATGTGTGGCAAAGAAAGAACTGATCTTGCCTTTTAGATTATTCACTAGCTTGCATTTTGAATAGACAATTATGGATATAGAGGAAAAAGTATAGATGTTCTATATATAGTGATTATGAATATGGATGTGGATATATGCTATACCATCTAAATGTACTCATGTGTCACCGGGCATTAATATTGATTTTATAATTCATTGTGTAGTGTTGTTTGAACATAGAAGTGTACATACCTACTCAAATTAGTGTCTTTTTAATTATTTGGGATGTACTTAGGGCTGTAAATGCTGGATCATATGGTAGACCTATTTTTAATATTTTCAAATCTGCTAACAATTTTGCATAGGGACAGAACCAGGCTACATTACCAACAAAAAATGCACTACAATTTGTTCCTCACAGTGTCTCCAGCAGCTGTTGTTTCTGCTTCTGTTGTTGTTGTTATATTTTGGTCATAGGAATAATACATTATCACATTGTGATTATTATCAAAATGTTTCTTCATGTTTTTATCTTCTTATTTATCTTCCTTACCCACCTGGATTCTTTGTTGGTTTATAATCACCTTTCGAAATTTACAATTGTTCTTTTCTGTTTATATAGTTTTTCAGAATTTTCTATCACCTCTATTGATCTTTTTACATCATACATCTCCTTATTTTCTTGTTAAATCCTTCATTTCTATTTTCTGTTCATTTTTTATTTCTTAGTACATCATTCATTTTTTTCTGTTCCTTACATATTTTGACAGATTTTCTGAGCTTTCTTACACTTATTTAGATGTCTCATTATACTAATTTTGAACTCTATATCTGATGGTAGGACAGATGTTGTGTCTTTGTTATTGAAATCTGGATTTCTTTTTTTTTTTTTTCCCATAGCTTTAAAGTTACCTGTTTTCTGTAAAATGTGTCTTTACCTGTGAATTAAATTATGCATTGATTTTATAATTTATTATGTAGTGTTGTTTGAACATAGAAGTGTACATACCTCCTCAACTTAGTGTCTTTTTTAATTATTTGGGATATACTTAGGACTGTAAATGCTGGATTTAATTATTTGGGATATACTTAGGACTGTAAATGCTGGATGGTAGACCTATATTTTCTTTTACATTTCCCCACCTTTGTATGATACTAGGCATTTGATTTTGGCACTGTGAATCATGTGTCAAGGACAACTGATCTGCAGCTGCTGACTCAGGGGTGCAGAAACAACCTGGAGACATCCGGTCACTGGTGAGGGGAACCAGTAGCTTAAAAGAGAGAGGAGAGTTGACTTGTTTTCATAGCATCACTAATAGTCCTCACCTTAAACATTCCAAACCAAATCTCAGCAGCCTGTGCATTTTAAGAACACATCACAACTTAATACCTGTCCTGAGTTGTGGGGGAAGAGGAATGCATTTCAGTACACGATTACAATGTTTACTGGAGTTATTTCCCTAACCAAATGTATGGCTACACACTACTCAGATCCCTGCTCCCAATGCTCATAAGCAAAAAGGGAGTAAAACTATCAGGTTTGAGTAAGTCCTTGGTGGTTCAGAGGTTAAGTACAACACTATGAAGCTATCCATCACCATTGTGGCAAGAGTTCATCCCCGCTCAAGAAACTGCCCACAAGGTGCAGCAGACCTTTCCTGTCTTGCCCATTGCTCCCCTCAGCAGTATATTACCTTAGATTGGGTAGATCCAACCATTCTGCTTCCCCCTTTGTCCTGGTGATTCTGCTTAAGTAACTCCACCCCACACCTCTTCTTTACATGCTATCTCTTGTATGCAAAAATAAATAATTTTAAAAAAAACACGGTGAAGTTATACAGACTGTTGACCTGGGCCACAGTCTATGGCCAGTTGTCACCAACCACATTTTGATGAATGGAATTAAATCTGTTCAGTGTAATGGTTCTGAAGTTCATACTGGTCTCAATCTCCAATAGGTAGCCCTGTTCCACCATTGTCCCATAGGGTTTTGTGACCTGTTGGGTAACTTGCCGGAGACTCTTTGTCCCTGATCACGGATTATTGGGGGACAGAACAGGCAAAGAGATGTCCTACTGAATGTGAAAATTTTTTTTGCACACTATATTGACAGAAATGGGACCATTATCAAAGTTCTAAAAAGAACTTACACAGTTCAACAAAAATAAACTAAACCATCCAGTCAAATAAATGGACAAAAGAACTAAAGATATTTCTCCAAAGAAGAAATGCAAATGACCAAAGGCATATGAAAAAATGTTCAACATAACCAGTTACCAGGAAATGAAAATCAAAACCAAATGAGATATTTTCATTTGTGATGTTTTGTTTTATTTTTTAGTTTATTTTCGCATAAATGAACTGGGATATAGGACAAAAGTGCAAAGGGTGAAAAGAATCACCAAGCACAGAGTGAGGAGTACAAAAAGCAGATTACTGAAATACAATGTTAAGGGGAGCAGCATACAAACAAGATGGAGGAGGTCTGCTGTGCCATATGGGTTTTAGATACTGCCTAGAGCTCAAACTCAGACTGTAGCAGTGATAGCACTGAGACTTAATGCCTAGGCCACCAAAGAAGCATTGTTCCAGTAAGATTGGCCCACATATGAAAAAAAAAAAAAACTGGTCTCAACAATTGCTAGAGAGGATATGGCAATAAAGAGAACACTGCTACAAAGCTGGTGGGAATGTGAACTGGTTGAGCCATTATGGAAAGCTTTGTGGAGATTTCTCAAAACAATAATGGATCTTTAATATGATCGAGGGTTTCACTCCTAGGAATCACTAATTCAAAAGGAAACATACACTACTACACTTACTACAGCTCTATTTATAATTGTTACAGGGCAACACAATGTGCACTGCGTTGCCTATCTATGAGTCCTCACTCATGTGCTTAAGATTCAACTGCACTGCAGACATACACAGTAAGGTAAATAATGGGTGTATTTACAAGGGGGAAAGAAAAGAAACAACCTGGGGAAAAGAGAGAGAGAGAGATACAAATTAGCTAGTTCACCCTACCAGTTCCTCTTACTTGGAACCCCAGTAGCACACTGAAAGCTGATCAAGAGTCATGTGACCAGCAGCGAACCAAGAGGCCAAGAGAGTGAGAGAGTGCCCCAGCCTCACATGTACGGTTTCATATCCAAAAAAAAAAAAAAAAGTGGCCACTTATCTCCACCGTGGGGACCTAGCAATCCTCCCTTTGGTGTTGCTGGGATTTGTAGCTTTGGTGTCTGGTGTAGGGGTGGAGTCCACAAAACTTGTATCTGTAGAGTTCATTCAGGACATCCTTTCCCCCTCTTGACTGTATGCCACCTATAAGCAAGAAATTGAAACAGCCCCAAAAGGCCCAATTGATGAACAGATTAAAAAGTTATGGTTTATTTATGCAATGGGATATTATACAGCAATCAAAATAAATAACTCATTACATTCCTGGCAACAGGGGTAAAGCATGTTATCTGAATTTGGTCAGAAAGAAAAAGTTGAAAATCAGATGGTCTTGCTTATATGTGAACATGGAGAAAACAAAGAAAATGTCAAAAAAAGTAAAAACTAGGAAGTTAACCATAGAATTGAGATATACAACAAAGGAAGGGATTGCTAGGGAAACAGAACAGGGGAGGGGTGAATATAAGGGAATATGATGATGGTTCACAGGTGATATTATGAACCACACCAATTATGGAGACCACACCAATGTAAGAAAAATAATTATGAATTTAAAATAACAAGTGTTAATAATTATAATAAAATTGAAAACATTTTTTGTTAATGGTACTTTACTTAAATTTTTTTTAGAAAACTTGGGGCCCTTCCTGGTGGCGCAGCGAGCTAAAGCACAGCACTGAGAAGCTTGAGCCACTTCCACAGGAGTTCGATTCCTGCCTGCCCTGGAGGTGACCGCATGGCGTGGCAGACCTCTCCTGACCCGCCCGCTGCTCCCCTCAGCAGTGTGCTTCCTCCATCTGCCTGTTCTGCTCCCCACTCTGTCTCTGGTGAATCCTCTCACCCTCTGCATTTCCTGTACCCCAGTTCTGTATGAATAAATAAATAAATCTTAAAAAAAAAAAGAGAGAAACCTTGAAGGGCAGCATTCAAATTGAAATAATAGGACTCACTGAAAGCTGCCATGTATAACAAAAAGCAACTCATTAACAAACATTAATGAAGTCAAAATTACTTTTATGTAATTATGTTGTTTAATTTCATGTTCTGAACTTTGTTGTTGTTGTTGTTGTTTCTTTCAAAGATTTAACAAGAAGTAACTTTTCATGGAGACATGGAATCAGACTTCCAATGATTTGATTTTATTGGGGTTGTTTCCCCAAAACAGAACTGGCTTGCTTTTTGTACTCCTTATCATCTTCATATTCTTTCTTGCCTCAATGGAAAATTCAACCATGATTCACCTGATCCGTGTAGATCCCCGGCTCCACAC